TGCACACTTGTTATTTTTGCTACTACCTTAGTTCTAGCTTCTATTACCCTTATTCTAGCTTGTATACAACCAGTTCTAGCCCACACCTTACTAGTTCTAAACCCAGCCCGTGTTTTTTACATGCACACTTGTTAATTCTAGCTTCTATGTTAGTTCTAGCTTCTATTACCCTAGTTCTAGCTTGTATACAGCCAGTTCTAGCCCACACCTTGCTAGTTCTAAACTCAGCTTTTCTATTTTACCTGCGCACTTATTATTTTTGCTTCTACGTTAGTTCTAACTTCTATTACCCTAGTTCTAGCTTGTATACAGCCAGTTCTAGCCCACACATTGCTAGTTCTAAACTCAACCTTCCTATTTTACCTGCGCACTTGTTATTCCTTTTTACGTTAGTTCTAGCTTTTATTACCCTAGTTCTAGCTTGTATACAGCCAGTTCTAGCCATGTTATTTCTAGCTTAGTCGATGTTGGTTCTAGCTGTTGTGGTTTCAGTTCTAGATGCTGTCGTGTTAGTTCTATCTTAGCCATTGTCAGATCTATTTGTTCTCGCGTAGTTCTAATACTTACAACATTTCTGCTAGTGGAGATGATTTTAGTTCTTATCACACATGAGAATACTTTCAACATTAAACAAAACGTACTAGTTTGTAAATATACAAGCAAAACAGTTAACAACATATTAAGTACTTAGTCAGCAATAGGTTCATTACATGTTTTACGGTTATGACCTTCCACATGACAGCGAGAGCATTTAAGTGGCCGGGTGTAAATAGTTCTGTTGTTGATACGTCTGGTTTTATTTCTCCCTTTCCTTTTTGTTGTTAGTGGTGGTAGGATCTGTATCTCACCCCGTGACACATACGCTTCTCATAATCAAGGATAGGGTAGAGGATTGGCTCGTAACTCTTTTTAAAAGTTTCAACCGTCATAAACCAGTCACAGAATTGGTAAACATCCCTCTTCATAAACATAATGATTGCACATGCATGTTTGCAAGGGATACGGGTTACATCCCACGCACGGCACGTGCATGTTTTATTGTCAAGGTCCACTTTACAAGTTCTATGGGATTGTACCTCAAATAATCCTTTATGGGACTGATGCACATCCAATGGACGCCCATTTTCCATATTCTCTTTGAGGGCAAGATTAACTTTGGGACAAAGAAATCCATTCCAACTTCCAGCCATTAATCATCGCTCATTCATACAAACCATGATCTGTTTACGTATGTGCTCTACCAGTTGAAGTATCCGTAGAAGCCTAGCCTCATGTATCCATTTGTTGAATGACTCTGTAACATTCGATGTAACGTGACCATATCTGAAACATAACAAGGAATTAATCAAAACTACTGAGTTATTGTTAGTTCTAGTGTAAGATTTTAATTCTCATTGATAGTTCTAGATGAGTTATTATAGTTCTAGCTAGCTTTAGTTATAGTGTAAGTATTGGTTTTAGGTTGTATACATTAATTTTGGCTTCTACCTTAGTTCTAACCGCTACTACGCTAGTTCTAGCTTGTATACAGCCAGCTCTAGCTCACACCTTGCTAGCTTTAAACTCAGCCTTCGTATTTTACCTGCACACTTGTTATTTTGCTTCTACCTTAGTTCTAACTGCTACTACGTTAGTTCTAGCTTGTATACAGTCAGTTCTAGCCCACACCTTGCTAGTTCTAACTAAGTTTTATAGTTAGTTCCAGTGTACGCATTCATCTTTAATTTAATTAGGCACACATCTTAACTGAAATAGCTTATAACTAACCTAATTCCGGGGGAAAACGCATTAGCCAAGTTCTCTGGAGCGTAGTTCATGACAATATTATAGGCTCCTTTGGTCCCCTATCTAATATCGTCCACATAGTCATTCCATTCTGCTTTAGTATATTTATAACAAGCAGATTGCAAAAGATTCCCCAAAATCTGAGTATCCTTTGCCTTGAAACCCAAATCCCTCAACTTCGTCCTGAAATTCTCAACTAGATGCAAAACACATCTAGAGTGTATAACATCTAGAAAATATTCTCTGATTGCTTCTCTGATCCCCTTATCCGCATCAGATATTATAACTAGCTTGTGTGGAGGGTTGTATGGATCTGGCCTTTCGTAGAGAATAGACCATAAACCTATAATAGAGTTAACAATGAATGAGTTAGAACTAGCATGAACTGTAATATAACTAACATGACCCGTAATATAACTAACATGACCCATGTCAGAACTAACCTTGTAAGAATCAATTCCAGTTGACGTTATTTTCTTGATCGCAAATGCAATAGGCTAGTGGAAATATCCCCTGATTTCCATCATATGCCACGACGCTGAGGAGTATACCTTTGAATCGATCTTTCATAAAGGTACCATCCATAAATATTAGTGGTCTACAACCGTTAAAAAAACCATTTATGCAGGCGGCATAGCAGATGAATAGCTTTGAAAACCTCCCCTCGTGTTGTTCAACATGAGTGTAACTACATGGGTTTGTCTTCTTAACCTCTTCTACATACCTAGAACATTGAAGATTATGTGTTAGGATCAACAATTTTCAAATTAATATATACAACATGACATAAATGAAATTAGTGAAGTGTGTATATTGTAGATATTATCTTCTTTTTTACCATCGCAATTGATCGTAGGACTCATGAACATCACCATATAGTTGCTCTTGTGCCCTTTCTTTACCCCACCATATCTTACTATAATCGACCCTAAGCCCATACGAACTTAGAAACTCCTTTTGTACGTCGATAGGTCGTAAATCCGATCGGACCTTTAATGTGGGTAGTACTTGGGTGGCAATGAATTGTCGAGAGGCCCTAGATTGACCTGCATTATTGCCATGATTCCCACAAGTGTGTTTGTCCATGAAGGTTTTTATTTCAAGTATGTTCTTAGTTTGTGTTGGAGAGGCAAATAACATCCACGAGAAATTTTGGTATTTCTTGAACCGACAAACGACTCGAATACGCTTCGACTCATTCTTGGCAAACAAGTACTCGAATTTTTTGGTCATGGAATAGTATAGCAAAGTCAATCTTAATTCCTTCACACTCTCAAAACGTTGTCCCTCACCGGTTAAAGCAGTGTGACACCAAGCAGAAATCCTCTCTATTCTGCTAATCATGTCATCAATCATCAGAACATTATCTTCGGAAGGATTGTCATTGGGAATCCTATCTGAAACACATGTGGGCGTCGACAACGGCGGGTCACACTCTATACTTTTTGACTTCATACTGCTGGAAGCGCTGCAAATATAAAGAACATGAATAACAACTGTTTGTTTTAGAACTGTCATGGAATCCGATTGAACTAACAAGATTTCAGTTAGAACTAACATGAAATTGTTTAGAACTAACATATTGGATCTAACATAAAATTTGAACTAGAACTAATAGTAAATCGATTAGAACTAAAATTAAGTCAATTGGAACTAACAATTAATAGATTATAGCTAACAATAAATCTATTAAAACTAACATGTTTAGTACATTCACGTAGAACAAGAACTAGCATGAACCTCCTTTTAAATACAGAGTTGTAACTAGAATTCACAGCGGTTAGGACTGACATGAATCGATTAGAGCTAACATACGCTCAAATTAGAGCTAAAAATCCAATTACACCAAACATGGAACTAGCATGAACTAACATTAACTGATTCTACAATTAACGTCGTGAATATTGGTCTTAGCATCAAAAAAAAATCCTTGGCCCTACATGTCTTGTCGAACTTGCTCGTTGTTGTGTACTTTTAAAGAATCCTCTGTTTCTTTGAAAGCTTGCATGTGAACCTTCTTTAATCCTCTGTTATGGCAATGCTCCACTATAGACTACATATCATCTTCGTTCTCAATAGGGAATTTGAAGCTTCCATTTGTTTCATCCTTGTATGACAAACTTAATGACGTTCTCAATAGGGAATTTGAAGCTTCCATTTGTTTCATCCTTGTATGACAAACTTAATGAATCATATGGAAGATCTAACCTCTCTGACCCATTTGTTTCATCCTTGTATGACAAACTTAATGAATCATATGGAAGATCTAACCTCTCTGACACATCAATTTTTAGATCCAGAATGGTGGTTGAAGAGTTAATCTTCATGAATACTGTTCTATCCCCTGAAGCAACAATGCAGATGATGTCCTTTTCAGCCATTATGAAGTGTAGGTAAGAGTAATGGATCGAACTTAGGGCAAGGAGGAGTAATATAGAGAGAGTAATGAAGAGAATTTTCGTCTGAGGAAAGAGTAATGGATAACTAAATAGTTATTGCTCATGATAGAGGGAAAATGGGGGGAAATTTTCCTCCATTTCTTACAACATTTTGCATTTAATGAGATGTGACGAAGCGTCTGGGGACAAAGGAGAAGGGAAAACTCGGGTTTTTACAAAATACAATAGCTCCTTTGTATAACGCTGACGTGGAGATCCCTGGAAATATTAAACGCAGCTTTTGGGGCTTATCCACATGCGGGGAAATACAAGGGGCCTCGTCACAAGAAGTCTCTGCTTTTGGGGCCTCGACACATTTTTTCCTAGAAAGATTTTCCCAACATGTTAAGTCTCATTATGAATATGATAAATCATTTAGTTACTAATTCAAAGAATATATAATAATTAGAATAGATTAGGAAAATAATATAATATTTAAAAATTTTTGAGGCTAATATTAACCATAGAAAGATTTTTCCGAACCTATGCTTTTAAAAGGAGTATGATTATGATAAATATAAATATGATCAAACAATATGGAATCTAAATGTCATTTATCCTGCATTTAAATAGGCTCACTTATCTATTCCTTTATACAAAAGGGAGAAACAAAGAATCACTATTCATGCTGCAGTAAATGAAACAGTAGATTTATCACTGTAGCAGAACACACATCCCACATGAAAAATGAACGGCTGGACTTCAAAATTTAAACATTCAAAATTCAAATATATTCCTTTATACAAATATATTTCTTTAAAGATTCTCTCTATCTCTACGCTCTTCTGTGTGTCCCCAATTCAAAATTTAAAAAGCATACCTTGAGATCTCCCCCTCCCCACTATCTCTATATTCCAACAAAAAAAAACCCTCTTTCTCTGAATCCATCCAGATCTCCCCTCCAGCTCCACCGCTCGACTCATCGAACGCGTCCACTCCGCCCATTATCGCAAGAAGAGAATCAACAACAGATCTCGAGACATCATTGGAGACGGCGGATCTGAGCTCATCAAGGCTGGCAACATCTCCATGGATGGCGGAGTGAACAAGGCGAGTGATCTTAGGCGAGACCTCCGGCATTGGAGTATTAGATCGGGATCTCCTCGGCGAGATCAATGGAGAAGCGAAAGGATCCGAGATTAGAGAGGAGAGAGAGGGTCTCTCTGTTGGGCTAGGGCTTGCATCGGCGCTACTGCTCCCCTTCGCCGTCAATTTACATTTTTTACCTCTAATAATGCAAAGCCATCGAGAATTACTTCTTCCAGCGTTTAAATCGAAGCGAGCAAAAGAGGGTTTTTGCGATGATTGAACTCAAAACCCTAAGCTTGAGTTCTTGCTATTTGCTTTATCGTTGGAATCTACGAACCCTAGATTCCATCAATCCTCACTCGCTAGAATCTTAGACTGTAAAATCATTAGTTTGGCTCGATTCTCCCTCTTCAATCTCAAGGTTTGCTCACTTTTTTTGGGTGTTTCTTGATTGCAGATATGGATTCGGTAACGTAAATGAATTGGGTGAGTTCTCTATTTGTATCTTGATATTTTCTATTAAAAAATAAAGTGTTTCTTGGAGTTTTTACTGGTTTTTTCACGGATTTTTTTTTCTTGATTTTAGCCATTTTCTTGAGTTGTAGACTATATGTATGAAGCATAGGAAGGAGGAGACGTGTGGAATTGGGAGATGAACAAGAAATATGAGAATTCTTTTGCTACTTACTGCAACGAAATCAGTGATAATTGGGATAGGATTGCAGAGGAGCTTGGAGTAGATGTTGAGGATGTTAAGAAGAACTATCGGCTTTTTGAGGAAGATATTGATGCGATTGAAGATGATCGAGTACCTTTGCCGAGCTATTTAGATGACGAGGTGGCTGATGCTGGTGCCCATGGTAAGAAGGGTGGAGAGGGGAAGGGAAGGGCTGAGCAAGAGCAGCGCAAAAGAATTGTTTGGATTGAGGAAGAGCATAGGTAAAACTCATCCCGGTGTTAAATTATTTGCTTTATATATTTATCAGCCAAAGAAGATGTTGTTTGTATATTGTCTGATTCTAAGTTTTGTATTTTCAAATTAATACCGTGGAAGCTTCATCAACTCAATTTCGTTAGGTATGTTTTTACTGCTTACAATAATTTATAATTTTTACTATACCCCTCATTTCAACTTATTTGCTATGCATTAAATGAACATTATTGATGAAGGTTTTCTTTAATAATCCAAAAAAAGTGTTCATGGCATTTTTTTTGAGTAGACAGAAGTAGATACTTTTTAAGTAAATCAATTCCAAAGGGATTGTTTTTTATGATAAACACTTAACATTCTATAGCTTTCGTAAATCTAAATTCACAAAATATAATGAAAATTTACATAAAAGATCGATTTTTGGTCTAATTAGTTAATATTAGTATTTGATCATTAAAAATAGATATATTTCTAATCAAATCAATTCTAAAAATATAACAAATTAAGGTTTTCTTTGTGTGGTGCTAAACACTTATCATTCTATAACTTTGGTAATTCAGAATTCACAAACTATGATCAATATTTACCTAAAAGATAAAATTGGGTTAATTTATTAACATTGGTATTTGAATATTAACAATTGACACATTTCTATTCTACAGCATCGTCATTGGGACATTGAATATTTGTGGGTGGACATCAATCACGCTAACATAAAAGGTACTTACTGTCAAAATTTCGTCAATGACAATTACTGATCATTTTTAGAAATTTTGGGGGGCTTTTATTGAGGAGAAAATAAAGATTTCTTCTGCCGTAGTTGGCGAGAGAATGAACTATTAATATGTGCTCAGATCTGAATATTTCCTCTAAAGTAATAAACTATTGATATGTGCTCAGATCTGAAGATTTCCTCTGTCAAAATTTTGTTCATTTTCTACTTATTTCTGTTTAACATTAATAACAAATCTTTGAAAAGACACATTAATAAAGAGATTATTATACTTAGTTGATGATTTATGGTAGTCAATTTTAATATTTGATAATATTTTTTTGGACAGGTCAGTTTTATATTTTATAATTTTTCTGTTAGAATCAGTGATAAGGAACTTCTATGTTTTCAGGTGACGGAGAAGGTCGTTAAGAACATCTCGGAGTAGGAAATTTCCACGCTTAAATAATCCAAGACCCCATTTAAGCCTGCAATTGTTCTATTTCAGGTTTTGCTCTTATTTCTCTTCTTTTTACCGGCTTTGTTTCTTTTTCCCCCCTAATGATAAATATACGATATTATAATGTTTGTCTTTGAGACACGATATAGTTAAGAGGATAGTTTGCATTATTTTGTATGATGAACTAAAATATGCATCAAGAGATAACTCCTTCGTAAAAATTCATGATTGGTTGTCACTCAAGTGACTGATTCATGAATATATGTTATATTGAATGTAGAGTTTTGTTGCTATATTGTTTTATTAGGCCATTATGTGTGAGTTGTTGGAATAGTATTGTTATATTTGCACCATACAATATTATTAGGCATCAATTTTCCAATTGCAACTCATTTGAAGGTCTTCATAGTTGCTAGCTATAAGAATAATTTTGTATAAAAATAAAATTGAGATCAAACAACATTAACGAATTGTAGAAAAGAGGCGAGGGCCGTGCTTGGCACGGGGTACGCACTAGTGTAAATTTAAGTGTAGAATATCTAATTGACAGTTTTAAAATCTTTAGAATATTTAAATACAAAGTAAAACTATACATGAGATTCCCTCGAAACCCAAATCAACTCGCAGCAGTCGCCATCCGCAGATCCACTGTTAACTGCCCACGAGCAAAAAGATTTCTCTTGAACTGATCCCCGATTCGGTGGATTCTTAGTCACCATCCGCAGGAGGAATTTTTTTATTAAAATATTGATTTAGTTTTATTTCATCAAACAAACTCTATCCAAACAATATTCTTATAAATATTACTTATAAGTTATACCCTTCACTAGCAAACGCTACAGTCACTGGTCCTCATTGTTTCCCTTCTAATAATGACGTTGGAGGAGCAAGAGAAGGCCGAAGCTCAAAACGGGGTGGGTCCCGCCTCGGCGGAGGCTGCCGGAGATGATACGGCGGCGGGGAGGGATATGTTCAACAAGCTGGTGTGGCATGGGGGCTCAGTTGCTGATGCTTGGCTCAATGCTGCATCAGCGCAGGTGATCGTATTTTTTTAATATTTTTTTTCCTTTCTATTTTGTTTTCTGGGTTATTTGAGTGCAAGTTAGAAGTGGGTTTTTTTTTTCAAAATTTGATTTTTTGAGTGCTTTTGTCTTGGGGTTCTGATGATTTTGTGGGGAGCACCACTACCATCTTTGGGTTACCGGGAATGAAATAGGAAATGGGATTTTTTTTTCCTTCAAAATTTTGCAACATTTTCGATTCTTTTTTTTTAATTTGTTG